GTGCAGATAAAAAGGAGGAGAGAATAATGTAAGCTGCTTTGGTCCCCACTGTGGAGAAAGACTGTAACTTTCCTAGGTAGAGGCTGTGGGGGAGGGGTGTGGAGACGGAAAGTTGAAGACAGAGAGGCAGATAAAGGTAGGTTGGCTGCTGGGTGGGAAGGAAATTGTGTTGCCAATTCCAGGTTGGCAAATTCCTGGACATTTGAGGGGTGGAGCCTGGGGAGGGTGGGATTTGAGGAGGGGAGAAACTACAGACCAGTATAATGCCATAGACTCCAACCTCCAAATCATACATGGAGGAGAGAGAGAAAGAAAGAAAGGGGGGGGGCAGAAGGGAGAAAGAGGGTGAGAGAGGTAGGGGGAGACAGGAGGAAGCAAAGGCGGGGGGAATAGGATAACCATCCCGCAAGTTTCTTGCGGGTCTCCACTTGTGCTTATCTAATTCCCTTTTGAAGCCGTCCATGCTTGTAGCCGCCACCACTTCCTGTGGCAGTGAATTCCAAGTGTTAATCACTCTTTGGCTGAAGAAGTACTTCCTCTTATCCGTTCTAACCCGACAGCTCAGCAATCTCATGGAGTGCCCACGAGTTCTTGTATTGTGAGAAAGGGAGAAAAGTACCTCTTTCTCTACCTGCTCTTTCCCATGCATAATCTTGTAAACCTCAATCATGTGACCCCTCAGTCGTCGTTTCTCCAAGCTAAAGAGCCCTAAGCGCCTTAACCTTTCCTCATAGGGAAAGTGTTCCAACCCTTTTATCATTCGAGTTGCCCTTTTCTGCACTTTTCCCAAAGCTATAATATCCTTTTTAAGGTGTGGTGACCAGAACTGCACACAGTATTCCAAATGAGGTCGCACCATTGATTTATACGGTGGCATTATGATATTGGCTGATCTGTTTTCAATAGTTTTGCCAAGTGATGCTGCTTCTCAGCACCTTCTCCCTACACCAGTAGCATGCACGCAGTATTGCACCACTTCATCAATACTGAGGCCCAATCTGCAGTTAGCGTTTGCTCCCTTGTTTTACCAAACTTACCCTGGAACAGAAGAAGATGTCGTTCAAAACCACATTCAACAACCCCAGGCCAACACTGTACTGACTGCAGAGACACCCCCGAATGGCCATAAAACAGCCATAAATCTATGCAGACGGCCACCATAAAACCAGAGATCAAACAAAGTGAAAGCCGGCATGCAGTCTGGACACTGCACACTCAATCAAAGTGAAAGTGGCATGCAATGTAGAGGGGGTTTTCTGTTCCAGGGTGGGTTTGGTACTACAGCAGAGCAAATGCAGACTGGGCCTGAGTCTCTCTCTTCAGCCCCTTGGTTATGAAGGGAGGAATGGGCTGCGAAATAACTAGGACTTATGGGGAGGAGGGAGAAGGAGGAGAAGAAGAAGGAGAAGAAGGAGGAGGAGTTGGTTTTTATACCCCAAAGGAGCCTCAAAGCAGCTTGCAATTGCTCTCCCCTTCTTCCCCACACAACGGTCACCTTGTGAGCAATGCTCCCTCTAAGCTGTGGAGTCCTATGAGCAAAAATTCTACTTTCTGAGCTCCTGGCATGAAAGTTGCGGGCAGGTGATTTGGCTGCTGCGTAAATTAGTTTGCTCTGGAGTCCTCCTTTTTGAGCTAAGACAAAAATGCGTGAGCCAGAGGCTAAAAGAACTGTGAGCTAGCTCACACTCACTCAGCTTAGAGGGAACACTGCTTGTGAGGCAGGTGGGGCTGAGAGAGTTCTGAGAGAACCGTGACTGGCCTAAAGTTACCCAGAGAGCTTCAGGTTGAGGAGGAGTGGGGGGACCAAGCCCAGTTCTCCAGATTAGAGTCCACTGCTCTTAACTACTATACCAGCCTTCCTTTGGTGCCCCTCTGATTGGCCCAGCTTCAGCAGCCAGCAGCCAATGATTTTCCTGTTTCTTAGGTCAAGAGCTGCAGTTCTAGCTACGCTTATTTGTGAGCACGGTCCAGTGAGGCTGACTTCCAAGAACGGAAGCAAACATCCTTAAACATGGCTTAGATCTTGCCTACAATCTGCTGTGGATTTTTCTTTTCTGTTTACATGAAGCTTGAATATCTTCAAGAAGCCGTTTCTCACTTGCCTGGGAGGAAGAATGGCCACTTTTTTTCTTTTTTCTTTTCTGCCTTATCAACCAAGAGTGCTCTCACTGGCTCTTCAGACCATGCAAAGTGAGCTGCTTTTAGCACTCTTCAGCTTGCTTGTAAGAAACAATGCACCACTCCACACTTAAAGGTTGACCCTTAACAGCTTGAGCTTCAGAGAAGTTGCTGCCATTTTAAGGGATGCTGCGTGTGATTTCCTCTTGGAAATCTCTGTGTTAGGGGCATTTTATGAATGAGTGAAACTTTCCCATAAAGTTCATTGCAGAATTGGGCGGTTTGTTGTTACAGTTTCCTCCCCAGGTATGATGTTAGCATTATTGCTGTGGCTGTTGAAGTTGTTGTAACTTTTTATCTATCTTTTCATGTATCTAATTCCCATTGGTGGCCCCATGATGTGTATCAGTAAATATGGAAGAAGAAGAAGAGGAGGAGGAGGAGGAGGAAGAGGACAAGGAGGAGGAGGAGGAGATTGGATTTATACCCCTCCCTTCACTCGGAGTCTCAGAGCGGCTTACAAACTCCTTTTCCCTTCCCCCCCCCACAACAAACACCCCGTGAGGCAGGTGGGGCCGAGAGAGCTCTGAGAGAACTGTCCTTGAGAGAACAGCTCTGACAGAACCATGGCTTGCCCAAGGTCACCCAGCAGCTGCAAGTGGAGGAGTGGGGAATCAAACCCGATTCTCCCAGATTAGAGTCCGCACACTTAACCACTACACCAAAGTCTCCCTTATTTCTATGCTAGGTTTGTCGTGTAAAGATGAATTGTTTCCTATTTATAGAGCGGCATCTGGGGTATGTGTGGCACTGGCTCCTTAAGAACATAAGAACATAAGAGACGCCAATGTTGGATCAGGCCAAAGGCCCATCCAGTCCAACACTCTGTGTCACACAGTGGCCAGAAATACCAGTGCCATCAGGAGGTCCAGCAGTGGGGCCAGGACATTAGAACCCCTCCCACTGTTGACCCCCCCCCAAGCACCAAGAAGACAGAGCATCACTTGCCCCAGAGCCCCTAGCTATACCTTGTGGCTAATAGCCACTGATGGACCTCTGCTCCATATGCTTATCTAATTCCCTTTTGAAGC